AACAGCCATTGTATGCACCCAAAGTGACTTATCAAATTAAAAATCTCTCTAAATGGATTTCATTTTTAATTACTTCAAGATAATCAGAGCAACACACATACACATAAATTACTTTTCAAAACTAATCTCCACCATTAATAGGCATGACATTTGAAAAGTATGCACATCAGAAGATCATTAATAGGCATGACATTTGAAAAGTACGTACATCAGAAGAAGAGTACTTTAAAGGAAATGACATCCGCTAATCAGAATTTATGGATAACATGCTGCTCTTCTCCCTCCTGTACCACAAAAGAAACCCATTCAACTGCTCTGGGATGTCAACACTTCATAAATTAACAGAATGGTTTCCAATTCGGTTCAGTATATGGTCCCAGGGCATAGCCCCATCCTGCTGACTGATCATCATGTTGCACTGGGCACCAAGTTAAATTTAGTGTTTTTATTTTAAATTTCTTGACATTTTTGGAGATAACATTCTTCTTTGAAGTTTTGATGTTAGTATCTTTAGTCTAATGAAAATATTTAAGCATTTGTTCACTGATTTACTAGTACTGGTATTTTATAACTGGCAGTGAATTTAATCATAGCGGTAATGGATTATCAGTTACACATCAGTCGAGTGTATGAAAGTTAATTTAATTATTACTTGTATTTGCACAACAAACATACATGGAAAGACCACTTTTCAGTAGAGAGTTGGCTCTCGGAAACCAGCGACTTTCAAGGAAGCCTATACCAGTCCCATCATTATACAATGTTCAATGTAATCAATGTTGACGTGTTGCTCCCTCTTCCTGAACTTTATTCGTAACTGTTTGTGGACCAAATAAATCCAGTGTAGCCTGACACTACAAGACAGTTTAAAAACCCTTAATTTTCAATATCGGACCCTGTATCTGGCATCCTAATGTCTGGAAGGACCCAAAATCTGTATTTTTTCCCCAGTAAATTTTACAGTGGCATTTTCCTTTGCTTGTCATATTTAAAACTGGTGCTTTGCAGTTCTTTGACTAACCGCCATATGTAAGTGATGTCACTGTTGATGGTATTACCACCAGTAGCAGGCAGCTTGCTTTTTTGCGCTTGTTTTGTCAGTGGAAGTCGTGGGCTTTTACGAGTTTTTAGATGACACCACCCCAGATTTTTGAGGTTTTTCTACTTCTCATAAAAAATTGTAAATTGCAGATAAAGCATATCCAAACCAGTCGGTTTTTCTACTTCTCATAAAAAATTGTGAATTGCAGATGAAGCATACCCAAACCAGTATTTTAAACATTTAAAAACAGCACTTCGCAGTGGAAGGTTTGTCACGTGAGTTGGTGGGGGGGATCAATACCGTAATTGGCATTGTTACAACAATTTCGAATGGTCTATGCTAGGACCATAAGCAATTAAAACATCCATTCCACAGAACCCAGTAAGCAGGATGGGGAACAAATCAGAAACACCTAAAAGTACAACAAACTTATAGAACATATCCCAAGAACAAACCTACACACAATTTTTAAACATTTAAAAACAGCACTTCGCAGTGGAAGGTTTGTCACGTGAGTTGGTGGGGGGGATCAATACCGTAATTGGCATTGTTACAACAATTTTGAATGGTCTATGCCAGGACCATAAGCAATTAAAACATCCATTCCACAGAACCCAGTAAGCAGGATGGGGAACAAATCAGAAACACCTAAAAGTACAACAAACTTATAGAACATATCCCAAGAACAAACCACGTTGCAACAGATGCAATCACATTCATAATTACATTACATTATCCCAAATTCAAATCTTGTCCAAGAGACCAGCTATCCTGACAAATTTTCATGGTATTCTTCCAGCTGCCAGGATAGTACCTTATAATAGGCAATGACCACTTCCTTCCATGTCCTTTCTAATTCATTAATCATATTCTTATCTAAAGCTATTACTGACAGCGCCATTAAATAAACTACAAACAAATAAAATAATTACATAACAAATTCCCTAGTGATTGTAGAATATACAAATATAAACAAAACTTTGACTGGAATGCATTAAATGAAGAGACCACTTGCACAACCTAGGCATAGATGGAACGATATCATTAAAATGGATTCCAAGAACATGATTGAAAAGAGTGGATTAGATTCATATGGCTCAGAAAAGGATTGGTAGTGAGCTTTTGTGAACATGGTAATGAACCTTCAGGTTCTATAGCAGAAAATTTGACTAGTTAAACATACTATTACTTTCAGTTATTATTATAAATACTGCAGATTTTCTGGACTTTGCCCATCTTTTAATCTTTTTCCAGGTGAAAAGCAACCAAACTGTAAAGATGACCATTCCCTCTTATCTGGTGAAATATTAAGAAATTTAAGAAACTTGATACTCACTCTCCTTACATGCCTTCACACAGAGTTTCTTTGACCATTTATTTTGATTGTACTCTCAAATTTTACAAAAAAAAAAATGTTAATCTGTAAAAATTATTATTTAAATTCCCATTGCAGATCCTGCTTTTGGGGAATGGCACTGCTATAAGATGGAGACAGTAAAGACTACAAACTGTCACCTAAATGGTGCCATCACTCTAAACATGATCCATAAAAGCCTGAAATCATCTATGAATTACTAATTATGCAAGTGGCATTCAACACACAACTGAATGAATCAGAATTAAATTCCTAGTCCATGAATTTATAATATGGAAATAATGGCACCACATTTCTTAAGTACACACATCTTACGGTTACAGTATAGCTATAAAAAAGATATGGTCTCACATTCAACATTTTTTGTTAAATGTGCCATGGGAAGAGCAATTTTACAAAAGTTATATGTTAAAAGTACTAATTTCTTTTATAATAGCAATCTGCATTTAATGTTTAAAACCATTAATTCAATTTTAAAAAGCAACCGATACCAGAATCAAATAACATTTGCTTTCAGAGTACTTACATCTCCATTTTGTATAAATGAAGAACGTTCTGGATACTAAAAATTCCTAATATATTTAATGGAAACCATCCCTTCTTTACTATTTTGACTCCTTTGCAGAAAATAATTTACATTTTTAACACAAAATTTTCAAATCATAGCTATGCATGGGATCACGAAATAGTTTATATGCATAAGTTTGAATACGGCTAGGTTTATTAGTTTCATAAGCAGGTTTTTCCATCCAACGTCTAACAAACCTCTTCGTTATGTGTATTACATACTTTCACAAAACGCTAAAAACGGGATTAAGCGATCAATATTGTAGTCATATTCAGTAACAATATAAGGATAAATACGGAACTACGGCATCCGTACGGAATACCTACGGTATTACATACACATACGCCCTCACAGTACCAAACATTGCCTTACATCGAAAATAATGTACATACGCACACAACACAGGTACAATTTAATACTCACAATCTAAATGTTTCTTTTTCGGGCCTATCATTTCTTCTGTCGTTGCTTTGCATACTGACTTAGCCAATCCTTGGCCGGCTATACTATGCCTGGCAGCCAGTAACCTATCGTTTATAGTCTGTCCTGCCATTTTTACACTCATTTTTAATAAATATTACTGGACGCTTAACGGGGTCTGGAAACCCCCAATTCCAACACTAATCACCAGAGAAATTTCACTTCACAATGACAGGTCAGCTGTGCGACAGTCACTATAACATGATAAAATGGCGACTGTAAGACAGGTGGTGACGTCAGTAAATTTCTGTCAATTCAAATACGTTAAACAAATAAGTAGTTCGAAAGTAATTAAAGAAACTAAACTTAAACATTATCCTCCTTACGTGATAAAGTATTTATATAATTGTCGAAACCAAATGTACAAAGCAAAAATGTGGTTAATATTATATTTCGTTCTGTCAACGTAGTTAGAACTTCCGTTACAATGTAGGAAACCTAATAATGACAACTTGTATTTTGGTCCATTTTAAATTGTACATCTGGAATATAAATCTGTTCCCTTTTGTAACCATGTATATAGTTTGCTGTCTTATTTACAGAATAGCATTCGGTATTTTCTTTATAGATATTAATCTCTTCTAAAGTATTTGATTGCCTGGACGTTAGCATCACTGTCGAGTTTTGTTCTGTTTTTGCTACTAGTAGAAGTTTCGTACTTTGAAATGAAAGATATTAATTATAAGAAATTTTAAAACTATAACTTTGAAGATATATCCTTGTATAGATTTCATAACAGAAATAATATTGCAATGACACACAAATTAAAAGGATATGTGTCTTCTCGTGTAAGTGTACAAGAAGTTTGAATAAGCTCTTTAAAATGTTCGTGTCTTCGACTGGACATTTTTTAATTTCAGAGTTGTGAAGTGAAAAATAATTTTCAGAACCTTCATAATAGAGAGTAGAGATATGAAAAATGTGACAAATGTTGCCTGTGTTACTTTGGTAGAGTGAAATATGATAAAAGCTCATATTAGCTAGTCGTTTTTCCTCCACACTTGCAACGTCCCTCAAGCCTCACCAATGTTTAAAATAGTGTATGGGAATATATTGAAGTTGTGGCATAGACACGAACACACACATACAGTATATGGGATAATATGGGCACGAATGACAGGGACGTGTAGAACACTGAATCCAAAAATGTAGAATGACCATAGCCCAAAAAGTATCATCAGATGGAGGGAGTATGCCACCACATTCTGGCAACACCAAGAGTCCAGTGGCTTAATGGTGAAGATTGCACATTATCAACAGTATAGCCACCACCAACCCACATTGTGGCATACTGTATTGTGCTTTGCATTTGTACAAAAGAGTGGCCAGGAAGAAGGGGGGGATGAAATGGAATAGACCCTGAACATTTGTGATATGTACCTGATGCCTGTTAATACGTGAATGCCATCTGCCAGTTTCTTCATTGTCATTCAGCCATAATTTCTTTGCTTACAACTGTCCCAGTACATTACTTTTACCACCAGTTAATGCATTTCATTCAGTCAGACTATTATCCTGTGTGACTACTTTTTGAATGTAGACCTTAGTGACAAGGACTTTGCAGTGTTCTACACATCTATAATCTGTGTCCACCATTTTTCCCACACTCCGTATGTCTTGGAGGTATTTATTAAATACATCAGGAGAACACAATACAAAATCATAATATAAAGACAGCTGATAATTCCAGGTTGAGTACTTTGGAGTGACAGTAGCAAATCAAGATTTCATGTTGAAAATAGGAGCAGATTATATTGAGGGATCGTACCATTCAATTCAAAATCTTCCTGTGGCCTATGTAAAAACATTGAATTAAAATGTATAGAAGCTATAACTTTACCTGTTTTGTATGAATGTGAAATTTGGTCTCTTGTTCTAATGGAGGAACCTAGTTTGAGGGTGGTTGGAAAGGAAGTGCTGAGGGGAGTATTTGGATTGAAGAGAGAAGAAGAAACAGTAGGGTGGAGAAAACTGTATGATAAGGAACTTCATAATTTGTAGTCTTGGCCAAATGTTAGTAGGGCATCAGTAAAGAACAATGAGGTGGATGGGAGATGTAGCTATATTGAGAAGATGAGAATGCATACAAAATGTTGGTCCCATACTTAATGGGCAGAGATAATCTGGAAAACCTGAAGCAAAGGTGGAAGGATAATATTAAAATGTACATTAAGGAAATTGGGTGTGAAGGTATGGATTGAATTCAACTGGCTTTCAGCTAGGTTCCAGCAAGGAACTGTCATTAATTTGGTGATCAACATTTGACTTCCATGTAATGCAGGAAATTTTGTGACCAGCCGAGAAACTATCAGCTTTTGAAGTAGGATGATGGTCCCTGGAGTAAGTTAGTTACTTATGCAGTAATTTTTTAAAAACTGGAAGGAGAGCCAGCCACATCTCAATCTTCCTCTTATCAGAGTTGTTTTAATTCTACTGCTCAAATATTATTTATAGCTGTGATTAAGTTTGGATATTATGAATTTGAGCCTATCAAGAAATCATGAATTACATCTGCTTTCTGCAAAAATTCATGAGGGCAATCCTGAACTAACAAAAGCAAACACATAGCAGTCAAAAATGGAGATTGTGACAAACTATAACAGAAGGACCATGTCAACTTTAGATGGACTGTACCTCAGATATAAAGTAAACATGAAATTTGAGATTCTTATGGCATTGACAACATTTACTTGTAAGTAGATACTGGTGTTTAGATAAATATACTGTCTCTCTCTTCTGGACTTATGTCCTGCTATTTTAAGCTAATTTCTAACAAGCATTATTATATACATAATGGGGTCTGAATCTGGAGACAGTGTGTTTCTCTGAAATGCTGGTGTCTACCTATAAGCCTACATTGCATCAAAACCTAGAAGAACAATATTGCCCTGATAAATGAGGCAGTAAGCATCTCTGAAACACCAGGTAACTTCAACAAGACTGCATGGCACAATATCCCAGAAGGCTGTCATCTTCAAGAACAGTATTGTCATGAAATAAGCATTTTTCTTTATCAGAGATTAAATTTGTCTGAATAGTGGACACTATCACTGAAACATAATTTAGTGAATATTGTGTCATAATTCATGTCCAGCCATTGTGGAAAATAATGGCAAACTTACCCTTTGGTTCATTATTATGCACACAATTTATACAAATATACATCAATCTGAACCTGAAACAAGATTTGGTGTTGGCTGTTTCCATCTCAGAATCATGAGATACTGTTATTATTATAGGTGCTGACATGCATTTAAAAGCTTGTACTTGAACAGTTGGCTTTGGGTTAGGTGCTAAGGGAAATTCTACAGCAATTTCCAAAACTTGGGGTCCTGGTGTACAAAGAAACCACTCAGCCAGGACCAATCTTGTGCATTTTTCATTTGGGGATTTAAGTAATTAAAGAAAGTAATAGGTTTAAAAAATGAAAGCACTTTAATCAGATGCTGGTTCCTGGGGACAGGCATGACATTTTCAGGTTAGTGTGTACAGGCCTGATTGACACCTCAATGAACTCAAGGTCAAGCATTCAGATTCATGCCAGTTACTATATTTAACATTTCACGGGTTGTCCCTATGTACAAGACTTGGTATCTGAATTTGTTTTGTATTGAAATTTATGCATTTGCATACTGGAATGAAAATTTCTGATTTAGTAATATGAAACGCTGAAGAAAAGGAAAAATATAATTCTATAATGGTGCCGTTATTCTGGAAGAGTCCCTTTTTCTTTATAACACATGCCAAATGTAGTGTCACCACAGGTGTTGGATTCTTTGCTAACTGCAGACTGATACACAGAATGCTGTTCCATGATTATGAAATGGTTTGTATGATCTATGTATGCTGCAGGATTTAACAAGTTCACTTGTTTTTATACAGATCATTAATTTTCAGAGGTATATAAATACTGCTATGTATAAATATTCCGGGTTCGATCCCCGAAGGGGGCAGAGGATTTTTCCTCTAGCCTCTGCGTCCAGACTGGCTCTAGGGCCCACCCAGCCTCCTATCCAATGGGTACCGGGGTCCTTTCCCAGGGGTAAAGCCGGCCGGGGCGTGATGCTGACCACTCACCCCCATCTAGTGCTGAGGTCAAGAATGAGTAGGAGCTATACCTCCACTCCCCCCAAGCGCCTACATGGTGTATAGTGGGACAGCTTTACTTTACTTTGCTTTATGTATAAATACTACTGTCTTGCCATTTTTCTGACACTTTAACACCTGTGTGTGTTTTAAGAAGAGTTTCATGACAGAATAATCTTGACTGTGTTATCTAAGATTTTTGGACATTGAGGCATGGTTTCTTAAGCTGTGAGGAAATCTGAAACAATAGGTATACAAAGAATACATGTTAATTAGGGCCATGAAAGATTACTTGACAGCAGTAGTATTAATGTCAAGAATATAGTACTTTCTCAACCTGTGGCTTGGAGTATGCAAATTGTTTAAGAAGATTTATGAGAAATGATGCATTAATATAGCTGGCAAGTGGTTTAAATCATACCTTCATGACAGAAAGCAACAAATAGAAATAAAGTCATCAAATTCAAATGATAGCACCTACTCAAATTGGGGTGTTGTAAAACATGGAGTGCCTCAAGGTTCAGTTCTTGATCCTCTGGTTTTCCAACTATATATAAATGATCTGCCCTCAACCATAAACTCTCATTCTTAACTTATACTCTTTGCTGATGATACTAATATTATTATTTCACAATCCAGAAATTGACTGTTTTCAAAATTGCATAAATGATGTCTTTGCTAGAATGAACAAATGGATTAAAGCCAATAAACTCACATTAAATTTTGACAAAACAAATTTAATGAAATTTTGAACTAAACCAAAATATAGGTTATCATGATAAAATAATCAAGGAAATAGAAACAACTAAATTTCTTGGCCTACAAATTTACAACAAATTAAACTGGGAAAAAAACATATTCAATATATTATCCCTAAACTAAGCTCAGCATGTTTTGCTATGAGGACAGTTGCAGCACTCACGAAAACAGAAACTTTAAAATTAGTTTATTTTTCTTGCTTCCATTCCATCATTTCGTATGGAATCATTTTCTGGGGAAATTCAATGGACAGCAAAAAATTATTTTACATTCAAAAGAGGATCGTTAGAATAATGGCAGTCACTAAAAGGAGAGCCGCTTGTAGGAAATGATTTAAGAAGTTTCTTCCACTACCCAGTGAATTCTTGCTCTCGCTATTATCATTTGTAGTGAATAAAGTAGTGGATAACATGGAAAAGTTTCAAACAAATACAGATATCCACAATATAGATACAACCTTCATGTGCCAATTTCTAACCTCAGTAAATATCAAAAATGAGTTTACTATACTAGAATTAAGTCATTCAATAATCTTCCACCTACTATCTAAAGTTTAAGAAATAAAACTACTAGAAATTGATCAAGGTTAGATTTAAGTTGTTTTTTCAAAGTAGATTTGTGTTTTGATATGTTGACAATCATACATATGCAGTGCAGTTTTCCATAAACTAAATATGAACTTATAAACTAAAAATACTGACATTTTATTATGATGTGGCAACTAATTTACAGAAAAAATGGAAGTATGGTGGGACCGTACATCAGTTATTTATAGGTTTCAAAAAAGCCTATGACTCGGTTAAGAGAGAATGCTATACAAAATTCTCATTGAATTTGGTGTACCAAAGAAGCTAGTGTGCTTAAATGAAACCTGTAGCAAAATTCATGTAGGTAAATATGTATCTGAGTAATTTTCCATCAAGAACTATTGGCATATGCTGATGATGTTAATTTATCGGGTAATGATATAAATATAATAAAGAGGAACACAGAAGTTTTCCTAGAGGCTAGTAGATAGGTGGGGCTTGAAGTAAATTCAGGAAAAACTAAGTACGTATATGTTGGTATCCTGACAGCAGACAGGCGGACAGAATTGTCTTAGGGTGGCTAATAAATCCTTTGAAAGTGTGACAGAGTTAAAATACTTGGGAACAATAACAAATCAGAATGATATTTAAGAGGAAGTTAAGAGGAGACTAAATTCCGGAAATGCTTGCTACTTCTCAGTCCAAAATATTTTGTCTTCCCGTCTTATTTCTAAGAATTTAAAGATTAAAATACACAAAACAATAATCTTGCCTGTTGTTTTGTATGGGTGCGAAACATGGTCTCTCACTCTGAGGGAGGAACACAGATTGAAGGTGTTTCAGAATAGGGTGTTGAGGAAGCTATTTGGGCCTCGGAGAGAAGACGATGGTGTCTGGAGAAAACTACGTAATTATGAGCTTAAAAATCCGTACTCCTCCCCCAATATTGTCAGGGTGATTAAGTCTAGTTGGGAAGCCTGAGGGGAAGAGACCGCTGGGGAGACCTAGACGTAGATGGGAGGATAATGTCAGGCGGGATCTATGGGAGATAGGAGTTGAAGGAGACTGGATTTTGTTGGCCCAGGACAAGGTCCGGTGGAGGGCTTTGGTTAATTCAGTGATAAACCTTTGGGTTCCGTAAACCATCTAGTTAGTTAGTAACAACTAATTCCTCTTGGTTAGTCATTTTGGTTTCTAATATTAAAGGTTATTCAGTATCCTTGTCCAAGTTTCTGTGTTTCAAAGACATATCTTCTGGTAATAAAATTATGGAGTCAAATTTAAATGGATTAATGTAATGCTGTGAAGGTTTAATGACAAAATCATTATGCCAGTTAATGAGAGGATATTACTAAAATGGACCTACAAGAGCTAGGGTGTGAGGATGGTCTGGATTCATTTGGTTTAGGATCAGGGTCATTGGTGTTCATATGCTAATTGAGGTTTATAATTTTATTACAGATTCTAGAAGCATTAAAATGGAAAACTAGTCCAAACAACTTTATGCCTACACTTCTTTCTAACCACATCACAATTGGAAAAGAAAAAAATGGTACAAACATTGAATTTCACTTATCAAGAACTTCATTAAAGAAAGTATTAAGCACTTCATTCAGTGATAAGGAAGTTAATATGTCTGAGGTGAAGAATGTTGTTGCAGATGACATCATTTGTGATGTACATGAAGAAGTAACAAAAAGGGATGTCAGTATTGTTTTTCAAATAAACAGGAATATGTTTATTAAGGAAGTACTGCAGGACATCACTTGTGATACTGTAATGTGGAGGAAAACACTTGCTCAAAATTTACTTCCACAGTCAAAAGAAAATAAAGTTGTTATAGAATACAGGTAAGCTAACTCATGCTAAGAATTTTGTTCAATGTATTTAAAACAGAACAGCACTTCTGTACTATGCTGTCACCAAAAATCAGGATCAACAATGAGGTGCAGTGAAAGATCATCTGATATACTGATTAAGTTATGTTTTCCCCCCACATATAGCTCACCAAACATAGCCAAACCATTCCATATGGGTCACTTACGCTCAACTATAATAGGGAACTTCATTGCAAATTTACTTGAGTTTCTGTCTCATAAAGTCGTTAGACTCAATTATCTTGGAGACTGGGGAACTCAGTTTGGGCTACTCCAAGTGGGACTAGAAATGTGTGGCTATTCAGAAACCTTGATCAAACAAAATCCTATGCAGCTGCTCTACAAAGCTTATGTTGAAGCTAATAAGAAAGCAGAAACTGATTCAAGTATATCTGCCAAAGCTCGAGAAGCCTTCCACTGCTTAGAAGAAGGTAACACAGAGAACATGGAAAAATGGAAATTGTTTCGTTATTACACTGAACAAGAACTACGGCATGTTTATCAGCGATTGGGGATATGTTTTGATGAGTATAAGTGGGAATCTGAATACAGTGCTAAAGATATAGGCAGTATTTTACATTCGTTAGAAGCAAGAGGGATTCTGAAGACTGAAAGTGATGGCAGGCAAGTGGTGGAAATTAACCAACAGTGGCGTGTGCCAATCATGAAAAGTGATGGCTCTACATTATACCTGACACGAGACATTGCTGCTGCTTTGGACCGCTATGACCACCACAAGTTCACAGAAATGCTGTATGTTGTGGATAATGCTCAGACTGACCATTTTACAGCACTGTTTGGGATTCTGTCTAATATGCAATTGCCTTGGGCTGCTTCACTAAAACATGTCAAATTTGGGAGAATCCGAGGAATGAGTACTCGAAAGGGGTCCGTAGTTTTTCTTACAGACATCTTGGATGAAGTACGAGACATCATGGCAAAAAAACAACAAGAATCACGTAGTACGTAAGTTTATATTTTCAGAATTTAATGTTAAAAGGAGGAAAATGATCAACTACCACCATAGATAAGCTACAGAATTAATCTAAATATGACAAAAATCTTAAGTACTGCATTGAACATCACTCTGCTGTATTTTAATAACATTTTGGTAGATAGTCTTCTGATTTCAACACCGATTCAACTTTGTTGTGTGAAGGATTAACAGTAGAACACACACATAGTATAGTAGTTCTGCTTGAACATTTTATTATCAGCATAATATTACCATGTTATCCAGATGTCTACCTTATTCAGATGATTAGATCAATCCTGTCCAGATTCACAAAAAAACTCATCTTTTGTCAATCCTGGATTATAGTTTGGTGAAGAAGGTAATTTATTCAGAGTAATAGTATTTTAGATTTAATGTTCATAAATGGTGCTATATTTTTATTTTGTTAGTAACAGTATGATAAAACTGTGTCTTTGTTATATTTCTTGATAAAAATGAACAGAAATGTAAGAAAATAAATGTATTATGTAACCAACATTACATTTGTCCCACATATGAAATTGGCATCGCAGTGTAGTTTGTTTGCTTTCTACTGGTAAAAAAAATAATTTTATCTGGTGCTGAAACTGATATCCTACCTTCATGTTGAAATGCTGTCAAGAAAATTTGAATATTTCTAATACATTTTCTTACAGGGGGCTGGAGAAAATTACGTAATAAGGTCTTCATAATTTGTGCTGCTCACCAGATATTGTTAAGACAATTAAATCAAGGAAGATGAATTGGGCATGGCATGTAGCACATGTGGGAGAGATGAGAAATGTAAACAAAATTGTATTCAGATGGCCTTAAGTGAAGTAACCATTTGGGATATCAGACAAACCTTAGAAGTTAATATTAAAAATGGTTCTTAAATAAATGAGTATGGACTGGATTCATCTGGCTCAGGAGAGGACCAGCTGTATGCTCTTGTAACTAACCTTTAGATTCTATAAGAGGCAGAGAATTTTGTTTGCCATCTGAGCAACTATTAGCTTCTTGAGGAAAGTTCTCCGTGGAGATATATTTTCAACCCTGACATGCCAAGACTAGATCTTTTTGTGTTACTCAGTAGTCAGCATGTGAGTTGAAACATGAAGTGTATAAGAAATGTCACTGGTACCAGACAGTCCTTAAACCAGGAAATGGCAACTACATTCTTTAGAGGTCAAACTACTTATATCTTATACCCCAGTTTTTTAAGATTTTCAAAAAACATCTTCAAAGCCAAAATGCTTCAACTACCAGTACATATGTATTATCTTATGGAAATGGCTACTTCATTCAAAATAAACAAAAATTATTTAATATTTGTAGCTTTGTATATGTGCAGTCTTGCTTAAATGGCATAAGAGCTACAGATGTTTTGAAGGTGTGGAGCATTGATTTTACCAATTTAATTTTGTAGTAAATTGTTCTAATATATTATAGTGATTGATAAAATATGAAGTCATATGTCTAACACCTCTTTTGCAGCTACAAAAGTATTTCTGGATAAAAATGAAAAAACAACTGATATCCTTGGTACTTCAGCAGTGATTATTAATGATTTGAAACAAAGACGGCAAAGAGACTATGAATTTGATTGGAACAGAGCTCTTCAGGTAAAATACAATAGTATGTGAGTTTTCATTAACATTTTGACATTTACTCAATTACCAAGACCTCTGCTTTCTAATCCTTCAGAAGTAATGTCAAATGGAGTAAAAAAGAATTAATAAGAACAGTTATAAAAACGATGATGGTGGTGGTGATTATGATGTGATGGTAATAATAACAACAACACCTATAGCTGGAAAGGTATACTCCTTGGAGTACTCTAAAGTTCCTAAGGTTCACACCACAGCACAGGAAGTGATGCCAGCAGGTTGCTCTATTGATAACCATAGGAATAACAAAATCAGCAAGTACATTGTTATGATAATGTGATTAAACCATTGTTGTTAAGTAACAATGACCTCAGTTCCCGTGAAAATATTGTGTTTCAAAAAAGGTCTTGGATCCAACCGTTACATAGCTGTGTGTTCTAACAATGGTCTCAGGTCATGCAGTTTATCTGTTTGCTAAGAAAAATGTGTCAGACAGACTTACATGGACAGGCCTTTATGGTGTTCTTTGCTGATGCTAGAGCATAAAGAGCTCTTAATAACAGACAGACTTACATGGACAGGCCTTTATGATATTCTTTGCTGATGCTAGAGCATGAAAATCTCCTAATAATGACAATAATGATGATGATACTAGTAATAATGGGTTTGTCAGGATTCAAGATGGAAGTACATCATCATATTCCTCATACAAGTACTATGGTCACTACACCAATAACAAGCCCAGAAGGCCATGTTTAGTATGAAGAGAGTATGTATTTCTGCAAGCCTCTAGTAACTCATTGGCAGTAGTGATACCAAAACCTGCCACTGGATGTGATCCTGACCTAGCTTCATCCATGTCTCATTCTACAACCTTATCTCCCTGAGAGCAATCTTTATGTTATGCTCCCATATATAATATTTATTTATCTTCTGTGTTATTGTATTAGGTGCAAGGTGACACTGGAGTGAAATTACAGTACACCCACTGCAGACTTTGGAATCTAGAGAAAAATTGTGGTACATCTCTTCCTCTGGAGTGTGATCCTAGTGTTCTTCAAGAACCTGAAGCTATCTTCCTAATAAAGGACATAGCAAGGTAAAGAGAGTACATCATGTTTGTTTCTAGTGCCAATATATGTTACAGTAAGAATTAATAATTTAAGTATTATGAACATTAACCTGTGTTGTTCAAAATCACATGCCAGGATTTATACATAATTTCCACTTATTATTCATAATCACCAGATAATGACTATTACCATAACACATGCAATCTCTCTCAGTTTCTTATGAGGTTTTCAATTGGTTTACAGATTTAATGAGGTGATCATGAAATCTTATGAAGAACTTGAAGCCTGCGTTCTTGTGAATTACCTTTTTCGGTTCTGGTAAGGCAATAACTAAGACACTCACCCTCTTTCTGTTACAGATATTTTCCTCTGAAATGCTGTTTAAGATGTTTTCAGTTATTGGGAATCATGAAGGTTCTTCATGATTCTAAAACTCACTTTTTGACCGTCTCCTAGGCATGTTTAGCCAAGTTTGTATCCTCACAACTTATATCCAAAGATATCTTACTTCTCTTCTTACATATGTGCTTTGATCTTTCATGCAGTATCTTTCAGTCTGAGTTTTTAGTCAGACTTTTGCACGCAGTTATCATTTCTTCAATGTGTGTCACAAGTTTGGAGCATCTCAACCTACGTGACATTCAGCAAAGCTACAAAAATGTGTCTGTTGCCATGTCTGTCTGTCTTCACGTAACAAATCAAGAATCTAGAATGGGATTTCAGAAAATGTATTTGGGACTTTTTTTAAAATATATCAGTGAATTCCAATTTTTGTTAAAATCAGACAGTAACGAGCTCTTTGTATGAAGCCCTATATGCATTTCAGTGTGCTTCTTGAGTGTAGGTGGCTAAATATTTATCAGAGCAAAAATGCTTCAAATTGAAGTTGTAAAAAGGAATTTTCATTCTTTTTCATCTCATAACTCAAGATCAATGGACTGATTCTTAACATATTTACTATTTGAGATCTGAGGTTTTCATGGTGGTGAGGATGATGATGTTCTTATGGGTTTTGACACTGTGTAGACTATCAGGAAGATGCCATTGTTTTGGAGAGACATACTGTCTCCATACAGTATGCATGTATGTGTGAGTCTGCATGGTGCCGAAACCAAGAAGAACATCATGTTTTTTATTGGAGATCCATGCTTGTTTGCTCCACTCATTTCACAGTATTTGTAAGAAAGCATCGGAAGTTAGCTTTCATTAATTAAAAATCTAGAGCTTTTAACAGCGTGAACATACATATTGTTACACTGCTTAATTTATGATACTTTGCTTCATGCTGTCTTTCAGACACATGTCTTATTACATATCATTTCCATTAAATTAAGTAAATGATTTGAGGCAAGTTCATGAATGGCAACTGTGAATCAGCTTTTACACTTTTTGAAATTCCTTGATTTCAAGTTATAATGTTGAGTTTCTTGCAGAATTTTCATATTTTCAGTTGAATATTAGTATTTTTTAAATATTTTAATCAGTATGTTTTGAAATACGTGATGAGAAGGCCAGAGATCATGAACTGAACGATAGCAAGTGTAGGTAAGAAGGACGGAGTTGCAAGAAATGGATGCAGCAATGAAGCACAATATTTATCAGAATTAAATGTCTGTGATTTCTTTTCAGTAATTTGATCAACAGAGCCTTTGACATACTTCAAGTGAAGAATGAAGATGTGTACGTAGGGTCACAAAGATTGTTATTGTTTCATGCGAGTAGAATTGTGTTGAATCAAGGTATGAAAATACTTGGACTTCAGCCATTACATCAAATGTAATTATTCCATTTCTTGTAACATACAATTGTTTTTCAGTTGGTGAGAACTGAGTGGTATTTGAGAAACAAGTATTCTCCATGTTATGCTATAGTTCATTATAAGTTCACTTTCCCAAGAGGGTGTGATTTTTTTAATAAATTATTCTGTTCTTCTCTTACCTCTCATCTGGTCTTCTATCAGTGTCCACATTTTACCTGCTGAATTATTTGTATCTTCCCTCACTTAAGTTCTTCACCTTTCAAAAGTCTGTTCCTCCAACTGTTGTTTGACATATTATTTATTGCTGTAAGTAATGGATTACTACTACGCCTATTGTTACTAAATGTAGTCACTTTCTTAAGGAAAAGAGTAACAGAGCTCATTTACATAACCCCAGCCGGCCGCAGTAGCCACGCGGTCTGAGTCATGATCCTCGTACGCCTGACTGCTGCGACCGTGTGTTTGAGTCCCACTCAAGGCATGGATGTTTGTCCGCTACTAACCCGCACTGGCCAGCGTGGTAGTGTATGGCTAAAATCCCCAAATGGGAGACCTACGTCCTTTAGTGGACATTGAGAGGTTGAAGGGGGAAAAAAATAGTCCCACACTAGGACATGATTGTCTGGAAAATAAAATCACTTCAGTAGCTGTATCTAACATTCATGGTTATATTTGTTAAAGTTAGAAAGGCACACTGAATTGCACCTTGTAATGTAGTATATATTTATGGCAGAGTCTTTGTTACCCACAAAATTACAGGGTTTTTTTTAAGAAAGGAAAGTTATTTTATTGTTGAACATTTGTTTAAACAAAAAAGGATACTGGGAAAAGGAATTAAAAATGTGGTGCTTATAAAATCCTGTCGGGTGAGGACACCATCTTAATACCTCTGATCATTAACTTCAGTTCTTGGATTTCATCCGTTAGCTTAGCAATAGCCGTAGTTCCTCTTTCTACTTCCCTTTGCAATTTCTTGACATGTGTTGACTCATCTGGGAGATGTTTAACTGAGTTTTGCTCATTTCCAATAAATGAAAGAATGTGAGAAGTTACAGAAGGAACAGGTGTACCACATTTTCTTGATTTAGCTATTTCATAAGCGTCTTTCAGTATGTCTTTTGGCAGCCTCTTTTCTTGGTGATTGAGTGGTTTCACTTGCAACACAACTCTATAACCAGAAGGCGAAATTAAAGCTGTACGATGGATCAGCATCAGAATATAATTGGGCAACCAGCTGCTAAATAATGATAATTCTATGTCAGAAATGAGTTTTGTTTGTCGTACGAGTTTAGATAATCCTGCGGTCTTTTCAAGTCCCTGGATATCACACACAGCAATTCCGACTAGTAAATTCATCATAATAATTGTAACAAACAACATAAAGATGAGAAATATAATATGAGCACTGGCTACCAATGTAAACTCTGAATGCGAGTCCCTCAGGATAAGACTGTCATAATCCACAGAACCAATCATTAGAGCAATAACTTGTATAAAACTAAATGCTGGGTTCTCAAAGTTCCTTTTATCAGGGAAAATAATACAAAAACTTAAAGTGAAACCAATCAGAAGGCATGCATAAGCTATGAAAAGTTTGGCGAATGCCTTCTGCACCTTAATGTACATGGCAATATATGATCCTAAGACAGGCAGCTGTCCTAGCAAGAGCATGAGATTGATCCATGCAAAGAGGACTGCAAAAGCTGCGACATGATTTTGCCACTTATCATCTTCATTTATAAGTAAATATGATATCAGGATGTTACTGATCAAGACAAACCACTCAATGATGTTGTCTATATGGAATAGTTTGTGTAAGCCTGAACATCCTACATACGTACAGATCTTTCGAATTACCTCACATACTGTGAAGACCATTAAGAAGCACCATTGAAAATTCATCAGAATTGGCGTGTCCTTTATGAAAGTGGGAATACTGGATGTATTTTGACACAAGACAGACTTATTGTAAATGTTATGCTTGTAGCAGTCATGAGACAAAGCTGTAAAGACATATCCTGTCAGACTCAATACTAAAATCCCGTACAGCACAAGTCTTGCTATATAATATTTACGAATCTTTTCCCACTT